TTGAGTTGGACTTTAAAAGATGAGTGGAATTCTGCAATATAAATAAGTAAAAGTCTATTTTATGCAGAAAAAAATGGTAGTTCTATTAGAGAAAAAACTATATTGGAAACACTCTTTAAAAGAAAAAGAAAAAAAAAAAAAGGACCAGGACTGGCCCCTTCAGGGTCATCTTAAGGAATTAAGGAATCACATTAAGGTGATTTCAGAATTTCAAGATAATCATCAAAAAACATGTTTCCCTTGAAATTTTTCCAACAGGAAAAATGCATATAAATAAATATAAAAGGTTTAAAATAGCTATTGATAGCAAACATATTAAAGTATAGCAATCAATTCATCTAATCTACACATAAAAATGGCAAGTATGTGACTCATTTTAACAAGAATAAACACATTGGACACCAGTACTGACATTGGAGGTCCCACTGAATAGGGAAATATGAATGAAAACAGAAAGGAAAAAAAACTTTACATCATATAAAGTTTGCTAACATCGGTTGAGTTTAACTTCGGATAATCAGGTGAAAAGATGCTTAGCTTACGAAGAGTCCTAGGGTGCATAATTTATGAAAGAAAGAGTTTGGTAGGTACAACAAAACTATTAAAGCGAGGTGCTTTATAGCAGATTTCCAGTTCATTTAAAACTTAAATCTAATGGCAATACTAATCATTAGCACAAGATTAGTATAATTAGTGGAGCAATTCTATTTAGTCTATTAAAAACTACTTTGTTTAGGTACGATGTTTTTGTTTTAAAGCAAAAAAGAAAAGCATGCGGACATGAATAAAATAGAGTCAATTAACCAACTATTACAACAATATCAGCTCTTAAGAAGCAGAGACACAGCAAGTTCATTCCAAGGACTTGTGGCTTGGACAGAGCCTCTAGCATGCCATCATCAGGAGCAGGCTGCACCTGTGGACCCCTAATTCTCAATTCTAGTCATAACTGGTAGCCCACAAGTACATCCCAGCTATTTATATTAGTCCAATGCCTTGCAAAGAGGGGCTCAACAAGTATTACACGTGGAAAAGAGGGAACACAATGGTGTTATAAAATCCAAAATTTTGCTTGTATTTCAATTCATGAATGCCACCTGTGCCTTTTAATCTGTAAGACCCACTTGATGTGTCAAATATGTTATGACTTCAGTTTCATTGGAAATGAACCAGGGTATGTCACTCATACCAGAGAACTGAGGGAAAAAGTAAAGAAAACAAGTGAAAGAAAATAATTCCTTATCAGAGGAAGAAAGTTTCACACAGTACATAAGCCCCTGGCATTAACATAGTGTAATTATCTACCCATAATGTAATTATTCATGGTCACCACTGTTCTATGGATCCTGTGGAAAAGGCAGGGAAAGGCCGTGAACTCAGGCCAACAGTGAGGACGTGATTAAAGAAGCTGAACTAGACATCTGATACACGGTCGCAAAATATAACTTTATTTCAGGTAAATATATGTCTGTTAGGTCTATTTGCTTTTCATTTTTTAATTTTATGTAGCTCAGAGATCTGTACAACTAACTTCGAGAGCTCTAGCAGCAATGAACTCCAGTCCCTTGCTTGAGTTTTCATTATCTGAACCCACATCACAGGAAGGAAGACTAAAGTCTGTCAACAAACTTGGACAGGCTTTGATCACGAACCACTGTTCATTCTGTATGCCCAACAGACTTTGCCCCAGACACTGTATGATCTTCAAGCCCCTCGAATTCTCCCTAGTAATCATTTATTGCCCCTCAACAGAAATCCTCTTCTCCCCCATCCCATAACCTGTTTTCCCAGGAACCAAGCCCCTATTCCTTCTGTAACCTCAAGATGGTATATAAGCTTCTGGACCCCACTGGGGGGCTGTCTTCAATCTGAAGGCTCCCATGTACACATTAAATCAATTTTTATACCTTTTCTCCAATTAATCTGCCTTATTGTGAGTTAATTTTCAGTGAACATTCAGAGGGCCAGGGGAAACCCCTTGGCCTCAACACTACTAAGCTGCTAAGTATTTATAAAATGTGGTATATGTATACCATGTAGTACTACTCAGCCATAAAAAAAAGTGAATTAATACCTTTTGCAACAATCTGAATGGAACTGGAGACCATTCTCCTAAGTAAAGTATCACAAGAATGGAAAAACACCACATG